CACCCAGCCCCTCGGACACTTAGGTAGTTTAAAAAATTTATGCAGAGTAAAAGAATAAAATAAAAAACTTGTTGGACTGATTATGATGTCCTGAGACGTTGCAGCTGATAGGAGTCATAAAACAGAACAGGGGACGTTAGATGCCCTGACACCATAAATGTGTTAAATGAGTGAAGGAAAATATGAGCGAGCACCAAGCAACAACCCTAGGTTCTCCCCTGAGAACCAGACCAAAACTTTTATGTGGAACCCTGGTTATTAGCATCTGCTACTTTAATGCAAGACTGGAAATACAAAGTTTAAAATTCACTGAAACTTGAAAAATAAAAACCTAGCACTCATTATAGGAATACTTATTGCTTCCCACCTTTAATGCCAGAGTTTTCCCAAATTTTGCCTATTAGTGAGAAATGATGATTGTAGCTGTTTTGGCAAAACCTTGATGACAACGTGTGTGATCTAACACAATATGATACTCAGTATGTGTTATGAATAACTCTGTTACTATCACATCACAATTTATTTTAGTATCTGTTGAAATGAGTGAGAAACAACACATGCTGGGATAGAAAACAATCCATGTTGAATATCACTGATTTGAGATGGGAACAGTCCTGACGTCCTTCCAAACCAACTCAATCATTCTTAACACACCAGACCATAATCACAGCATCCTTAAGATTGTCAGAAAAGCAAAATCGCCACAATTATTTTGTTGAGTGAACCAGGCATTAGTTGTAGCCATGTTTGTGTTGGAGCATGTTGATTAGTTGTGGTGGCCAGGCTTGAATTGACTTCAAAAGATAATTATTTGAAGATGTTCATCTACTGATTATTTTCTGACGGTTTCACCAAATCCAACCATTTTATGAGAAAATTTACTAACAAATAGATTTATTCCAATAGTTGTTATCACTGAGAATGTTTTRAGGATCAGTCTCAGCTACTACCATGATAAATTGTAGATCATTATCTGTAAAATTGAATGAGTTAGTCTTTTTTGTTTGTTTAGGGTCAGTTGGCTGTGGCTGCCATAGTGAATCAGGCTGCCTTAGTGTTGGGCATTATCGCATTGTGTGCAATTAAATGTCACAAAAACAGATAATATTTGCCACTTTTCAATTACCGCAATTAGTCCCACACGATGACGTATTTTTGTGTGCAATAAACTGACAAACAAGCAGCTTGTGAGTCTGTGTGTTACTAAAGATATGCTGCCACTCCACATTGTGGAAAACGTGGGTTTCAATTCAGAGCTTACCAGAGTTGTAAAGTTACTAAGTACAAATACTTTGTTACTGTACTTTAGTAGAATTTTTGGGTATCTGTACTTTACTTGAGTAATTATTCTTCAGCGTACTTTTTACTTCTACTCTTTACATTTTTTTTTAAAAAGGCAAGAAGTAAAAACTAATTTCTTTTATTTCATTTTTACTTGTTTTCATTCCAGCTTGTTATTGTGTATGTATGTATGTATGTATGTATGTATGTATGTACGTATGTATGTATTAGGGCTGTGTATTGGCAAGAATTTGGCGATACGATACATATCATAACAGAGGGGTCACGATTCGATATACTGAACAAAAACGATACTGTAAGCAAGGCAATATATTGCGATATATTGCGATTTTTTTTGTCCAAAAATTCTATTAAATAAAAACCTCTTACTGAAAAAAAAAGCTAATTCCTTACAATGCTAATGCTACGCTTACTCTCTGGCGCTCAAGAGGTAGAGGAGCCAAATGGCTGGCTCACTGCTGCCAACTAGTGGTCAGAGGCTGAACTACAACATAAAAAAGAACGGTTGGCATGAAGGTTGACATTTTAAACCTTAATTAAAAATTGATACAGGGCTTTAGAACATCGATACAGTATCAGGAAATGAAATATCGCGATATTTCAGTGTATCGATATTTTCTTACACCGCTAGTATGTATGTGTATAAGGTGGTAAAACAAATTGCTTGTATATATTCCTTTCTACACACTTTGTAGATTATTTTTTCTGTACTCCAAGTGTTTAATCTGTGCGCGCTCCGGCGGGGTGACAATCATCATGTTTATGCTTTACTTTATTAATGTTTTTTTTTGGAAAGACAGTCTGACTGTCACCCTTTCACACAGCTCTTCCCCGCTGTACAAAGAGACAGTAATGGCTGAGTTTTATAGTCGCACTTTGGACTGAGCGCGCATTCGGCCGTGCGTCGTGGCGCTATGACCGCAGGAGAAACGAGGTCCAGACTCAGCGAGCTTTTGTGCGTCTGGAGCATTAATTCACCTGCAGAGACAGTCGCCTCGCTGCATCACCACGTGCCGCGGCGCGCGCTCCTCCCGCAGCAAGCWGTGTGGTCGGTCAGCATCCGACCGGAGGACGCCCCATCATGTAAACATGTAAACAGTTCGGCGTTCATTTTCGCACACCTGAACCAGGTCCGGATAAGTTTTGTTCCCCTCTTCATTAGCACTCTCAGCCACGCTGCTTCCCGCTTCCTCTATTTTGACTCCAGCTGGTTACATCATCAAAAAAATTGCGCAGTTGGCCGGTAGACTACAGATCTCTTTCAAAGGACAAATTTATATCGTTTCTACCGTATATCATTTATTTCGCGCATTCCTACTCCTAGATAGAGTGAATTTAATTGTGGTTGAATGAGAAGTATAAACATGTAAAATTCTGATCATGTCACACTCCAGCAGGACATAATTATTAAAATAAAAGGCCTGTACCTAAGAAGTGCTTGTATTTCATTAATTATATTATTACATTTGGCCGCAGCCTTCAGGTAAGATTTAAGGTTTGTGCAGCCTTGATATATGTAAATTAACTGAAACGGTAAAACTAGAGTATCCTAAATTTAACATAAATTAATTATTTTAATACGATTCAGTTATTTCTGCAGTTTTTGGGGGAGTTCACCTCCTGATAAATGTCATTACAGAAAATCTAACTGCTCATTTTAAATCAATACTTTTACTTTTAATACTTAAGTATAAAAAATATCAGATACTTTAATACTTTTACTCAAGTATCACTTTGTGGTACTTTATACAAGTCTGCAGCTTACTATTTTAACCTGTTAAAATGAAGAATTTAGTTTGAGCGATGTTTGTTGGTTTTTTTCTGACTGATGATGTAGGGATGTTGACACTTCGTCAGCAGCTGCTGCCATTTTCTTCCCAAACTGCTGGGACCAGATTTTGCGAGGCTGCTCGGTGC